GCCCATTTCAGCTCTAAAGTTAACCCGCCTAAATTGTGCAATAACCTTCTCATCTGCTCTGGTAGACGAATTAACATAGACAGAAAAGGAAGAGCCATTATACATTGTAGATCCTCTAAAGGAAGATTCCTCATCATACCCAGTGCAAATTCCTCATTCCGCGAGTTTCAAAATTCACCCAAATATCCGCTACACTTGAACCATCATTAATATTTAAATCGGATAAAAACGGCCTGGTGAATGACCCTGATCCCATGGAAACAGAGCTAATTTCTGCTTTATGACTATTCTTATATAAATTTATTAGCCTTATCCAACCTAACTTTGTTTTTTTGTATTTAAATAATTATTTTTATAACTTATAAATTTATATAAGATTTTATTATTTGTACAGTTAAATATTTTGAATAATCATTGGCTATTACTAAATATATTATATGAAAATTAGTGAATTAAATAGATATCAAAAATGTTATGGAATTGCAGTTTTTATTGAAAATTAATTAAAATTACTTGTTATTGTAAAACAAGAGTCTTTTAAGTTTATACAAATATCTCTTTTTTTTATAAGTTAGCAAAAATATTTTATGAAAATTATGATATCAAATATATAAAAATTAGTAAATTAACAAATATATCTAATAGATTTAATAAATTGCAGTTCATTTGAACATCTAAAAAATAATTATAAATGTTTATATCTAAATAATAATTTAAACTTACATTTTATTCAACAACAAATCCCATCCTTTGAAGGTCGACCTCTGCGTCGTTTTTGCTTGGTGTAGTTTTTGTACAGGGAATCTAGATGATACATTTCTTCAGATATAGGTAAGGAGCTTTGATGGATAAATTGATATTGAATATGTTTCCTTTAAACAAATAAATGAATTCGCAATATATTTACTATTTCGCGCTAATTCTCTCGCGATAATGACTTAATGCAAATACATTCAAAGGGCTCGCGATAAAAAATCGCTATAATGAATTTGCGATATGTTAAAATGTATTGACGGTTAAGGCTTGGCAGAAAAAAATTCATGGAATGTCTTCGCGATAAAATTTTTGCTGAGTTGACTTGATACGAATAACTAGGAGTAAAAAAAAATTTGTATTTTTAGTTTTTTTTATAAAATAGGAGATAAAGAAAAACTAGTTATAAGATAGAGTTTACGTTTTCAGATATGATATTTATTTTTTCAATTTAAGCGCCCATAAAAATTTATCTATGGGGACGAGAGTCCCAGCCCTACGAAGTCACTGTCTATGATGGCTAGTATCTTCTGAAAGTTAAAACCCCGGATCCTCAAAATTTCACTACTTTTTTAATTTATGTTAGTTTAAACATAATTGTTGGTCTAACTAAGTACGATTTTATATCGAATTGGGTTTAATTTTTTTCATAGATGATAGCTTTATTAAATTATTAAACTTTTTTTATTTTATCTTTTTGAAAAATTGGAGCATCTGAAAAAGTAATTTTTGAAGAGTACAAATTATATATTGTTTTATAAAATGATAGAAGATAAATAAAAATTACTATAATTATATATTTTTGGCAAAAAAAATTAACCATTAGCGTTTAGCCCCAGAAGGTCCCAGCCTCGCGCATAAGTTTATAAAACACCCCTTCTGTTCTTTTTGATAGGCCGAATGCTTTCTGGTATTCCACTTAAAGAGAAACCCTTTAGAACCTGAATTTTAAAATATTTTCCAGTACAACACAAAATATTAACAAATATAGAACTTCTTTAACTAATCTTTATTGTTGTTAAAATAAAAAAATCACATATCACAAAAGAGAATATTTACAATCATACAATAATAATCAGTATTGAGTAAAATGTATATAATCTGATGATATACGAATGTTCGTGAGTATGTGTTTTGAACCGGAAAATTTAGAGAGATAAAGGTGATAATTGTTGTAAACCTTTATTTTAAATAAATTAGAGAAAATTATCAATAATGGAATGTATCAATCAACTTTTAGACTCATATAAATACAATCCGCTTAATTTTTATTTAATTTTAATTTTCGGATGGCTAGATTTGTTATTGTTTTTTTCTTGTTCTTTGATACGAATTTTAGGCAAATCTTCATAGTTATGCCTAGGGTTTTCTTGATCCTTAATCCAATACCTTTCCACGAAGAATGGATTAAAGTGAATATTCCTTCGACCTGTACAATTAAAATGATAAATTGAAAATATAAAAACATTTTAAATTCAAAAGTTAAAGGTTAAAAAAAATTTGATCCACTTTCCTCTACTAATTAAATCTAATAAATTTTTATTTTTGATAAATATTATTAACAAAATTGTTCGTTTATAAAAGATACCTATTAAATCATTAGCAACGTCGAATTTGAAAAGGTTATACTTTTGAGTATGATATAATCTCAAAAAAAATTGTAACCTCCTGTTGCAATATACCATTATCATTTAGTTCTCAAAATAAAAATCCCAGGGTTTACAAAAACTATAGTGGATTTTCGGTTTCTCAAATAGGTTTTCAAAACTGCTCTTCGGTTGTTTTTAAAGTTAAACGAATTCGGATGAGGCCCTTTAGAACCCGGACTAAAGAGGCTTCCGGTTCTAAAAATTTTTTAAAAAGAGGTAATTATTCGGTTTTCTGGTTCTTGGATTTGATGAGGAGTCGAGAGTCCCATGCACTTTTCTAGAACCGGCTCCTGGAAATTTTAAAATGAAGTCATAAAAGGAAATAAATTTAACTATATATTTTTTTTAATTGGAAAAAAAGCCATTTAACACTGTGATATATTTTTTGATATATTTTTTAAACAAAAAACAACTAAAATACTGACAACCTAAAAACATATTATTTAAGTCATATATCTTAAAAAATTTGTTATGCCTTTTTCTTATACCAAGGTTATCATTTAGAAATTTATTTTAAATCATTAAAAAACATTTATAATTAATTTTTTGATATAAATGTAATGAAAATAAAATCATATAATATTATATCTAATAAAAAAAATATATATTTTCTTAACATTCTATTCAATCGATAGTGAGAAACCGTACCTAGGCTCGGTTCGGTCATTCACACACGCATATACCAAAGTACTAATTTAAAAATATTCCGAATCTGGCCCCATATCGAATCCGATAAATTTTTTGTCCCTTTTATGGAGCCCCCCTAATATTTTTATCATCTTTATTTTATTTTTGGGAGATAGCGAAACAGGTTAATAAAAATAAATCTTCTATAAAAAATCGGAGATTTTTTAGAGCATATTACTTTTGGCGAGAGAGAACCCCGCGCGTTTAGCATGAGGGAAGCCCATTTTTTGGAACTGTTTCGTTCAAATCAATTAAACTGTTTTTGGATATATGCTATACTTATGGAGGAAGGGTAGGGGAAAGAGTGAATACCAATTAAACTGTCAATTTAGACATACTGTACTTATGAAGAAAATATACGTGGTGGATATAGTGCAATTGAGAGTAGTAAGACCGGTTTCTAATTTTGACTAATTTCGAAATTGATAAATTACTGTTTTTTTAAGAGCGGAATAAAGTAAAGGTGGGAAACGGGAAATATAGAGTTATGGGGCAATAAGAGCGAAATGAATAAATCTGTTCTTTTCATAGTATTCTTCGAGAGAGGGGAATAAAATGTATCAATAATCAATGCGAAGATAAAATTATGTCACCTATATCAAGTAATATGTAACGGGTCTAATGAGAAGTTAGGGAATTGGGAACATGAATATATGGGACAATAAAAAGGTGCGAAATGCAAAGGCCTCTTCATAAAGTTTGGGGAAAAAAATGAATTAATAATCAGTGCAAAGATGAAATTTACCTATCAAGTGACACGAGATAGAGAATTTAAATGTAAATTACGTTATATTTTTATCCGAAAAAATATAACCATAATTGGGTTTAATTTATCTTTAGTAATTATTAATGCTGAGGAAATATTTCCAAAATGTGAATGAATTGAAATGAGAAAGAGAAAGAGACAGAGTAAAATAGGAAATAAAATATCGGATAAAGCGCAAAAATTTTTTGAAAAGATGTTAAATTTTATATTAAAATATTTTTATATTAAAGAAAGCAATAAACCAAACATTTTTTTGTTATTTTTATTTTCAATTTTATTTTTTAGCCTTTCGTATCATGTATAGCCTTTAGACTTTTAGACATTCCGCAAATTTAATATTTATCTATTATTTATTATAATTTAGTTTTTATATAAAGTTTTTTTAAAAAGCATTTTTTTTTTATGTAGTTTAAAAAAATTATATATATATATACTAATTTTGATCTTACATTATATTATTATCAATAAGAAAAATTTTTTAACAAAATTTTAATAACCCAAAATTAACATGTTAAATTTTATAAGGATCGGGCTATACATCTTACAAGCTATAGGATTTAAAAAAATTTCTAGACCCAATAGTTATTACTCTGGGAACCAAAGTATACAATTATATATACAGTAACTTGATTCTAGTTTTTAAACTATTCTAACTTAAGATTTTTAAAAACCTAAGATCGTGGGCTATTTGACCCCTGAATTTTATTTCTCTTTATGACCGGTTCGGGCCTGCGCATACCATCAGATAAACTTTTTTAAGAAAATTAACTTAACCGGATAAAAATCCTACTTTTTAGCTTTCGATCACTATCTCGATTACATGTATTTTTGATATTGTTAGCGTGAGATTAATTAGAAAAATTAGTGAATGACAGTGCTACTCATGTTTATAATTTTACTTTTTCAGCATTGAGAATATCACCGGCACGGGTCTAATAAAGATTAAATTAAAATTTTATGAGTTTGGTATGCTTCTTAATTTCATACTTTTAAAAAGTAAAAATTCAATGATAAATTTAAATAATGACATACTTGTTAAGGCGTATGGAGTCATCATTCATGTTCTGTGATATATGAATATCCATTATTGTTATTTAAAAATAATTTTAATCTTTTCAAACCATAAAAGATTCAAATGATTCCAGTATTATAATAACGAACATTATATTAAGACATGGTGAAAGATCTCCCGTCGAATCATATATCTTTCCAAACTACGTATTCAACCAAAGCCATTGGCCAAATGGTCAGAATAACCTAACGGACAATGGAATTATTGAGATTCTCGAAACTGGGAGGCTCCTTAAAAATAGATACGCTAATATTTTTAAACGTTCACTCAGTTTATTAGATATAAAATCTTCATCTTCTGATACAATAAGGACGAAAAGCTCAGCCTTAGCCTTTTTATATGGCTTTATGGGAAGTATAATGGATTTCATTACTCGAAAAAAGGTAAATAATATATACCATGATATGTTATATAACTTATTAAAATATAAAGATTTTAGCTCTAGAAGAGTATGATGCATTACACATAACAACCGAAAATGATTTATTATTAAATAGTATCGGGAAATGTTGCAATCATATCTCCGAATTCGTTAATACTCTAACAATACCAAACTCCACTTTAGCGAATTATGTATATAGCAATAAAAATTATTATGATAAGGTCAAAGAGCATTCAGGGTTCGGAGAGAGGTTGACTCCTATGACCATGCTATTTGTAGTAGATCCATTATTTTGTGACAAAACATATAATTATTCCTTACCTGATTGGGTGACTCCTGAAGTCTATTTATTTACACAAAATTATGCAGATATAATGTTTGGGTTGATATATAAGGACAACGCGAATTTGTTAAAATGGAGTATTGGGCTTTTGACGAACAAAATTTTTTGTAATATGCTAAAACACTTTGATTCTATTTGGATGAATACTAAATATCCATGGTTTAAAAATTATTTGATATGTCACGAGAAAAATATAACTGATAACATCGAAGACCCTAAATCTATTCATATGTTTTCCGCTCATGATATAACTATAGCAGGTATAATGTCGATGTTTCAAATAGAGTTTGATTCCAGACCCAGGACAGCAAGCGCTTTCATGGTCGAATTATGGAAATATTCAAACCCAACTTATAGCGCAAATATTAGTTCATTTAATTCATCAAACGATAATTGGATCTATTCCACAGACCCTTATGTTCCTTTTATTTATTATTTAAAATTTATTTATAAAACTGAAAGAAATGGTAAAAACGTAATAAATAATCTCGAAAGAGATATTCGTTTTGAGATAGCCATTCAAATGGGAAAGGATAAATTAGTGGCTACTGTAGAAGATGCCTTGATAACATGTAAAAGAGACCAGTGCTAGTCGGCGCAAGGGGCTTATCAGTTCGGCAATTACATAATAGCATTGTATAATATGTATATTTGAGGCAAAAATATTTTATACCCCTCAGCTATTTAAATATTTTTTGTGACAAATTATCATAAAATATGTTTTTTATGATAAAATATGTTTTTAATGATAAAATATGTTTTTTATGATAAAATATGTTTATAATGATAAAATATGTTTTTTATTATAAAATATGTTTTTAATTATAAAATATGTTTTTTATTATAAAATATGTTTTTTATTATAAAATATGTTTTTTATTATAAAATATGTTTTTTATTATAAAATATGTTTTTTATTATAAAATATGTTTTTTATTATAAAATATGTTTTTTATTATAAAATATGTTTTTATGATAAATTATGTTTGATAAAATATGTTTTTTATGATAAAATATGTTGTTTATGATAATGTTTTTTTATGATAAAATATGTTTTTTATGATGAAATGTGTTTTTTAGGTAAATCAAAATTTTTTTTACACCATAATATTAGATGACATTAAAATATGAAGTGTTAAAAAATTATAAAATTGACATTATATGAAATTTATAACTTACTTTTTGCATTTCAGAAAGTATCATAATCATATTAGTATCTAAATATTATTTTTAGAATATATTAATCATATTAGTAGTAAGGGGCTAGTCGTATCAATTAAATTATGCTTACTATATAAAATAAGCATATTCATTGTATAGATTTAAATCAATTCTATATGATAATGCAATGGAATTCGAGAAAAATAAAGATTTTTTCAAAAGTTTTATTCATTTTTTTATAATTCAAAATAATATGTCATTTTTATATGAATTATTTATATGTTTTATTGTATTTTATATCAATAAAACATTGTCCATAAAAATAATGTAATAATAATATAAATATTATATAGTAGGTTTAATAAATTAGTTAAATCTACAAACCCCGGGTTTGAGACTTGTTGTAAAATTTTTTACTTTTTCTAGGATTAATCTTGAGAAAAAATTAATATTTTAATAAATTTATCCGTGTAAAACATTAGGTATAATTGGCTATCTATCTTACGGAAAATACCACAATTATTTTCGGACCTATGATGAATTAACAAAAGTTACCTCTACTAGCCCTGATTTCTACTACTCCATTTCGTAGAACAATTTAGATAATGTATTTTAAAATTAAATTTTAAGCAGATATTAGTTGATATTTCTATTATGTTTTAATTTTACTAAAAGCAAAATGATTATGCTTTTATTTAAGATAAAACTTAAATTATAAAATTATTTTAAAAATTATTAATGTTTTTAATCAGCTGAACAAAGCCTAATTTCAAAATTTATTATTTAAGGTCTAATAATTTAATAAAATTATCACCGGGGTAGCTAGTGCGATGATGTTCGCACAGTAAACGAAGGTTCCAGGTTCAAACCTCAAAGCGGACAAATAAAATTTTATAGTTTTTCTTTGATGATTGATGAGCAAATATGTGTGAAAAGATGATTTACCGAACTTAGAAGACCAAGGTCATCAACAGCTTGCCCTCGGTTTGACAAATGGGAAAACAAATTAAACAAAGAAATTTGGTCTTGGAATGAGGATATGCACCACTGCCATAAGAAAACACTCTACAAAATAAGGTTTAAATTTAAAAAAAGTAGAAAACAAACAAAAATACAAGAAGCTCAAACAAGAACTACAAAGGTGTATATAGGGCCAAATCACTAGCATATAGCGACATGTACGGAAAGCTAAATAAAATCTATATATTAGGCAAATAAAGAGATAATGAATATTTTCAGGAGCTTTTTAAACCCCATATACTGCATCTAGATAAACACACACACCATGGCAAAAACGTTATTCAACCAATAACAGCACGAAATATAAGTGGCCTCAAACACATGAATAATATTAATGCAAGGAGCTATGATGATCTTCCAGTAGAAAGTCTTAAAGCACTAGGAGATGAAAGAATATACTGGAAAGTGATGGGACTCCTTAAAAATGGAGACAGAGCTATTCGGTTCCTATCTTCAAAAAGGTAGTCCCACATGTCAAAATTATAGGGGTATTAAACTAATGTCACACTGTTTAAATCTCCACCAAAAAATAATGAAAAAAGATAAAGAGTTATAATTAAAATAGGGAAGACTCAGTTTGGTTTCATCCCTGGAAGATCAACCTGATACAATATTCACGCAATTAGATAAAAATACAGGGAAAGAAAGGGCTCATATGGATCTCGATCTCGAGAAAGCTTTCTATAGAATCTCAAGTAACTTAGCTAGTGGTTGATAAGCCACACATTAAAGAAATCACATTGAGCACATCAACAGACTTTCAAATAGCTGAGGCATTTCAGCGAGGGTCGGCTCTCAGCCCACTAGTGTTCATAACTATGATGGATGTCCAGTCAGAGACTATCTCGGAAAAAACCCCATTGAATATGATATTTGCAAATAATATTTCAATACTTGCTGAAAAGAATGAAATAAAGAAAAGACTCACTAGTTTGGTAGATATACTAGAAAGATATGGGGGAAAAGATTCATGAGTTTGGTAGATATACTAGAAAGATATGAGTTAAAAGTTATCAAGGGAAAACAAAATTCATGGTCATCGGTGGATATGAAATAGACAGCATCGACATAAATGAATACCGGGTATCGGCAATGGAAAGATGTAAATAATTTGGCTCCATATTACAAAATAATAACACAATCAAAAGAGAAATAAAAAATAGTATGGGCTGAGGCGGAGAAATTTAGAATTGCTCCTTGATAAAAGAATCACAAATTAAAAGGAAAGATATATACCCTAATACAACCAACTATCTTATGTAGTTCGAAAACATGTCCAAACAATCAGAGAGAAGTTTGCAGACAATGGAGATAATGATAGCAAGTTTATCAAAAAGGATAAGATAAGAAATAAATATATAGGAACGGAAGGTTAAAAGCAATACCCATTAAAACAAAGATTACGGTGAACAGGCTTAGGTGGTATGGAGATACGATGAGAAGCGAGCGAAATGTAAGAATTTCCATCATTTTAACAAAAATAATTGAATAATTAGGAAATCTAATTTTTTTTTATATGGAAAAAACGTTATTTCATTTATTTTTATTACAATTTTCGAATTTTGTCAATTCTGAATCTTTTTTTTTCTAAAGATTAGCCAGTAAAATTTTGTCAGCTCCAGCCAGCTTGATTTCAAGTTCACTATAATTTTCTATAGAATAATCATTTACTATAAAATAAATAAAAATGCATTATATTTCCCAGGATTCTAGACCGGAAGTTGGTTTCGGTTCTGAGTTTGGCACACATTTTTCCAAACTCGTACAGAACCGGAACTCTAAAGTAATTAGGGTTATGAACCCCAATCCCAATTTTTTTCTAATCCAAGGATTTAGGAATTTTCGCCATATTTTTTATAATTGAATCTTTTAAAAAAAACTAAAGTAAAAAATTGATTATGTTAGATACAACGGTCCTAATTCGTTTTTTTTCTTTCTTTCTTTTAGTAAAATTTTTAGATCAAAAAAAATAGTAGACATTGAAAGATTTAAGAATGAATTTAAAAACCGTCATTCTATTCAATCGATACGGATTCAAATAGTTTCGATCAGGTTAAAAATATTTCGATCCTGAACCCTTACCAAATCCGGCCGTTTTATTAATTTGGAAAGAAAAAAAATCCAAGATATTCTGCACCATTTAACGTTTCGGAAAGAAGTTCTTACGTTCCGCGGGAAAACTGTCTTGCGCAATACAGCAACGAATGATAGCCCTGATAGATTAATAACCTTTGTTTATTTTTTTTAAATCAAATTAATAATAAATATTTTAAATAAAATATCTACTATTATAATGTTATATAAAGTTATTTTTAAAAAAGGGACCGTTTTTTTACTGTTTAAAAAATATTTACTAATCTTGATCTTACATTATATCAGTATAAATATATAAAAAAAATTTTAACAAAATTTTAATAACCAAAATTATCATGTTAAACTTTTTAAGGATCTTTGGTTTATACATCATACTTGTTATAGGAATTCAAAATATCTCTGGATCCATTAGTTACTCTAGGAACCAAGGTATGTAATAATAATATTCAATGATTTGATTCTAACTTTCAAACTATAATTCTTAAAATATCCAAACATGAGATGGCTCTACGGCTCAGAGGCTTATTTTAATTATATATGGTGTCCTGTGTCTGGGCTGGGCATACAGTCACACAAATATTGATTTTTAAATAAACTCGGCCTGATAAAAATTCTACTGTCTAGTTTCTGAGAGCTTAATATTCGATTATATTTATTTTGATAGCATGTAATCTATAAATCAAATTAAATTGCATTTTTTTAAAATTTACATATCGCGGCGCCAAGATAAAAAAAATAGGAATGATTTTGGTGGCGCGGCCTAGATTAATAGTTGAATTTTTCTGGTATGGAAAATTTTAAAGATACAGTTCTATTAAAGTTAAAATTAAAATTTTTTGAGTTAAGATTCTTAATTTTATTCCATAAAAAAAAGAAGTGCCAAATTTAAATAATACGGCTTTTGGCGTAAGGAGTTTATCAAGTGTGTGCGATTATATATTGTTATTTAAAAATAATATTAAACCTTTCAAACTATAAAAGATACAAATGATTCAAATATTATTATGACGAACATAATATTGAGACATGGTGAGAGATCTCCTCTCGAAACGCATATGTTTCCAAACTACGTATTCAACGAAAGTCATTGGCCAAATGGTAAGACAAACCTAACGGACAATGGCATTATTGCGATTCTCGAAACTGGAAGGCTTATTAAAAATAGATAAGTTATGATTTTTAATCGTCCACTCACTTTAATCGATATAAAATCTTTATCTTCTGATACTAGCAGGACGAAAAGCTCAGCTTTGGCGTTTTTATATGGCTTTATGGGAAATAAAATGAATTTCATTACGCGAAAAAAGGTAAATAATTATACTTATAATATTATATAATGTATTAATATGGATTTATTAAAATATGTAAAGGTTTTAAGTTTGGAGGATTATGATGCCTTCCACATAACAACCGAAGA